AGTGTCTACCAATCCACATTTAGGATTAGGCAAGTTCGGTGGCTTCGGCTAAGATCTGAACAAAGTTCCATATGCATACATATGAAACATCCTTTAATGACTGTTCTGTTTTCTTAGGCCCTTAAAATTACCTCTTTTAGGTAGTTCCCACTGCTTGTGGGAATACAAATTTGTACATCCATTTTGGATATCAGTAAGGTAGTTCCTCAGGAAAATAGGAATCAGTGTATCACAGGACAGTTCCACTCTTAGGCATATACCTAAATGATCCACATCCATGCAACAGACATCTTTTCAACTATGTTCATAGCAGCATCATTTGTAATAGAAAGAACCTGGAAGCAACCTAGTGACCCTTTAATTGAAGAATGGATAAAGAAGATGTGACACATTTATATAATGGAATAAAATCAATATAATCTTGAAATTTTCAGGCAAATGGATGGAACTTGAAGAAACCAGCCTGAGTGAGGTAACCCAGTCACAAAAAGAGGAACATGGTATGTACTCACTCATATGTGGATTTTAGACAGAACAAAGGATCACCAGCCTATAATTCACAGTGCCAGGAAAACTATGATACAAGGAGGAACCTATGAGATTCTTACAAGGTCCCTCATAGGAGGGGAAAGCAACAAGATCTCCTGAGCAAATTTGGAGTTGCGGGGTAGGGGGCAGTGAGTGGAGAGATAGGAGAAGGAAGGGGAGAAGAGGAGAGCATGTCAGAGTAGAAAGACTGAATCAGGGGAAGAATAGACAAGTGCAGAATGAGTGTGTGTGTGTGTGTGTGTGTGTGAGAGAGAGAGAGAGAGAGAGTGCCTTGGGAGCCGTTATAGGTTGAGGAGAAAACTGACACTAGAGAAATGTTCATAGACCCACAAGGATGATCCCAACTAACAATCGGGAAAACAGTGGAAAGGTTCCCTGATAATGAGATTGATGACTAACAAATGTGCCATCATAGAGCCCTCATCCAGCAGCTGATGGAAACAGAAGCAGATACCCACAGCTAAACACTGAGCTGAACTCCTGCAATCCAGTTGCAGAAAGGGAGGAGTGATAAGAAAATTGGGTCAAGACCAAGCTACAGAAACCCACAGAGACAGCTGATCTGAACAAGGAGGGGGGGAGCTCATGGACACCCAGACTCATAGCTGGGAAACCAGCATTGGACTGATTCAGAACCCCTGAACATTGGTCAGAAGGCCTGGGAAATCTAAGGGACCTCTGAGAGTGGAACCAGGATGTATCCCTGGTGCACCAGAGGAATTTGGGAGCACATTCCCCATGGAGGGATACTCCCTTAGCCTAGAGGCAGGAGGGGAGCCCTAGTCCCTACTCCAAATGACTTGACTGATATTGATGATTCCTACTGGAAGGCATTACCCTCTCTGTGGAGTGGGGGGAGGTGGGATAGGAGGGAGGGACAGGGAACTGGGATCAATGTATAAAATAAGAAAAAATAATAATTATAAGAAAATACCTTCTTAAAAAGTTGATGCAACAGTATAATTACATCATTTCCCTTTTCCATTTCTTCCCTCCAAATCTCCCACTAACCTCTCCTTGTTCCCTTTCAAATCATGGGTATGAAATATATATATATATATATATATATATATATATATATATATATACATACATACTGTGTGTATATATATATATATGTGTGTGTGTATGTGTATGTATGTATATGTATACACACACATGTAGAATGTGTGTATTCAGTGCTGACAATGTGGTATCAGATAACCAATTGATGTGCTCTTTTCAAGGGAATACCCTTTCTCCCACTGTCAGCATTCCTTAGCTGCCTGTAGTTCAAGGCAAGAATGACATTACATCTTGACAGGATGTCTTCTTTCATACTCTCACGGGATTGAGCATTGCCATGTCCTCATTTCCTAGCTCAAGTTCACAGAATGTTTACTTTGCCTGATGGACTGCCTTCCTGCACACTTTGTCCCCTCCATCTTTGTGTTTACACCTGCTCTTTCTTCAATAAACCACTCTGGTGAAATCTCTTCCAATGTGTCTCTCTTTCATGACCCTTTCTAGTCATGTTAAATGTAGTCATTGCATAAGCAGGAAGAGGAGAAGAGCACGGATTAGGAACAGGGATTTGTCTACATAAAGCAGAAACTCGCAGTTAAACATTTCTGTGGTGATCAAGAGGTTATTTCCATATTGTATCTTTTTACTGACAGTAACCCCATATTTCTTAATGTGCAGATTTTTTCCCTTCCCTTTAGTCCATTCAGTTACCCACAAGACAATTTGTTGCTGCCTTAGGAAAGTGCTAAGGACCTGTTTGAAAAGAGATGCTAATTGCCACTCTTAGTAGAAAAAGTAGATAATTAACTAGTCACTTAAAATACATATTTGATGTATTAAACAAAGATTTTACGTGTGTGTGTGTGTGTGTGTGTGTGTGTGTGTGTGTGTGTGTGTGTGCATGTGCACATACACAGCATGTAAAATACAGGGTTCCTTTAAATATATTTTCTTTAGATTTCTTGCATAGCTTCAGATAGGTATATTTTTGCTCTGGTTTCACAGGCAGAGATGACAGTGCTCAATGAATAAAAATCAAAAGTAAATTTCACAATCAGGAGGCCAGCTTGCTGCAAGCCCTTGTTCCATAGGACTTGAGATTATACCCTGAGCATACTAACAGCCTGCTGATTTCAGCCTCAGTGAGTGACAGGAGACCCATGGTGACAAAAGATCTAAAAATATACCGGGATTTGGCCATTAAAAGCCTTATCAGCAAGTAACAAAAATCAACAGAGCATTAGGATTGCCAATGTAGGGATTTAAAAGGGTTCCTAGCAAGAGAATGTTACTAAGCGGCCTGATAATCTGTTGACATCAACGCTGGCCGTCTCTGTGGGCCACTTTCTGGCTGAGAGCTTTAGGTGATGAAAGGCAGAGTGGCTGGAAGTGGGGGCATCTGAGTTAATACTGACAGCCTTGTGGCTATGTCTAGGCCTGTGGTGAGGATATGCAGGCTGTACATCTGTCCCAGAGTTTCCCATTTGCTCTGAGGTCAGCAAGTCATTAGATTAGCATCTCTCCAAAAGAGAGCTGTGTGTTTCCATACTCTCTATAACATCTTAAACACTAACCATTGATTTGAAGGCTTTAAATACTAATTCAAGCCAATGCATATTCTCCTAGTAAGTTCATTTCATACTTTCTAATGTTTCCAGGTACCTCATAACACATATGTAAATAGAAGGGCATGAAACTATTGACAGCCTCCTTCTGAGGGTTTATGCCTTTCCAGATGAGTGGGTATAAAAATGTTGTTACAGTGTTTTCTTCAGTATCCTTGTAACTGTGGGTAAGCACAATGCTTTCTCTTCCTTTTTTTCTGTCTGTCTCCTGATTGATTCTTTAGAGTGATGCACCACAGGCATGTTAGGTACAGATAAGTGACAATAGCGGGAAGGTGTCTTCTATTGTAGTTGATCCAGAAGAGGATGTGAGAATCACTGCAGGTGTCAGGGCCTTCTGTACTGTCATGGCCAACATATACCTTTCCCTATCTGAACTGATGCATAAACTTCACTAATCAAAATCTGTTAGTTTCAATACACCTATAGATCTTTGGCTTTGAATGATTACTGACCTCAATTTTCCTACCTAATGTGATTTTATATTCACACTTAGAACAGTCTTCAACAGAAAAGACTTGACAGACTTGGGCTTTCAGTCCTCGTTTTGTTGGGACCCTTTTCCAACCTTGACCTGTCTTCTGTGTCATAGAGAAGAGACTGTTGAAATTGATGATATGGTATTGTAGCATCCTAGATTGCAGGTCTTCTATAAAGATGCTCTCAGGATGGTGAGGATGCATTATACCCCACAGTCCCTAGAAGTGGTGATATAAATTCATATAGTCATGATAACTGGTTTGTTTGTTCCCCATATCATTAAATTGCTAGTTGTATTTGTCTGTTTTCCTACTAACTGATGAACTGGTGCTGAATACTCCACAAAGAAAAGTAACTCAGCATCTAGAAGATTGATTGTCTATGATCAGGGCATCCTGATCACTTGCCCTTCCAAAGAGGATGTCCTGGTAGAGAATTTAAAGGTAAGTTCTGGATGTGAAGCAAAGAAGAACACAGGGTAGGCTTGCTTTATAACTCTCCTGTGTTTTCATGTTAGGTAGAGTTCTCAAGAAGCTGTGTTAACACACATAGGGGTGAGAGTCTCCATGGACTTCTCACTTCCCATGTGTCATTGTTAGGATTTCTATTTCTGTGAAGAGACATCATGACCATGGCAACTTTTTTTTTTCCTGAGACAGGGCTTCTCTGTATTGTTTTTGAGCCTGTCCTAGAACTTGCTCTGTAGACAAGGCTGGCCTCAAACTCACAGAGATTAGCCTGCCTTCTGAGTGCTGGGATTAAAGGCACGTGACCCCAGTGTGAAGAGACATCATGCCTATGGCAACTCTTATAAAGGAAAATATTAACCTAAAGTGGTAGCTTACACTTTCAGAAGTTCAGTTCATTATTATGATTCTGGGGAGCAAGACAAAGTTCAGGCATACATGGTGCTGACTAATACATGTTGATCAGAAGGCAACAGACATTGGACTGTGATGCTGGACAGCATCTTGAGCATAGGAAACATCAAATCCTGCTCCTACAGTTACGTTCTTTCTTCAACAACTACTCCAACCAAGCCACACCTAATAGTGCCACTCCCTATGAACTTATGGAGTCCAATTATATTCAAACTACTATGCTTTGAATACCCTTTCTGGAAGGTCCTGCCATTTCTCAACATTGTCTCGCTGTTGCCAAGTATCTAATATGTGAGGCTTTTACGAATACCATCTAAAATCAATGCACCAGTCCAGAGAAAAGTCTAATTTTTTTGGTCGGGTTGTTCTCAACCATACTATGTTGGAAGGGGTGGGATTGGATTGGACAATCACTGATCTATTTCTCTAGGTTTAAGATCCTAGGATTCTATAGCTGCTTTTGCAATAACATATGCATTGATCAAAGGGAAAATGGGGCTGGAAAATAAATATGAAAAGAGGCCCACTTCAATGGGTATATATTATCACCTTTGGAAAAAATCCTTTCTGCTTGTTCTTGATTCAAGGGTGAGTGCATTTTTTCAGGATACTTTACTATATGCTATGAATGTAGAATGACAAAATTCCTAAGATGAAAGCTGTTTTTTTTAAGAGAAATAAAAAAGCAGACCTCAGCATTTGCTATATCTGGAAAATAACATATACAGTACATTAAGCTTTGTTAAGTGTCTCTGAATATAAAATTAACTTTCTTTCTGAGTATTGAATAGAAAAGCAAACCCCCCCAAAACCCATATTTAACAGTTTGACTATGAATAGTAAATGTATCTAACAATCTTTAAAGACTTTCTAGTCATCAAATACCAGTCTGAGCACAGACATGAATAGCAAATATTCCTGTGATCTTTGGTGGTGGCTTAGGAGTTGTGTGGCTCATTCTCTCAAGCTGTGACATACCACCAAGGTCAATGGCTCAATAGAAAACATTCATAAGCAGTCAATTATGGAGTGTTTGACTCTAAGCCTGTGTCTACAGAAAAACCAAACACATGTTTGTAAAGTAATAAACCAATGCATACTAGAGCAGACATTAGAGTCTTAATGAGAGTTTCATATCAGCTCAGCAAAATTTCCCATCCTCCATTCTTTTCTAAACCCATTTATTTTAGCCCATTTACTGGAGAAGTGCAGTCACATTGATATTTCGAAAACTAATAATGCTGCCTCTGCATATGTGAATTTCATGAGGTCTGTGAGTAATGAATAATATTAGCAAATGAGACAAAAGGCCATTTTGAGGCAGGATGAGGGTGATTTTTCAGATTATTAATTCCAAAAAATAATTTTGGCTTTCAAAACTATTGTTGGATAGGGAGTATTATACTGATAGGTCTGGATATGGCATTAATTGCTTCAATGTATGTGGGGGGAAATCCATTCTCAATAGAGTGTTAGAACTCAACCCTCAATTTATTTTTACACACAATGCAATATGAGGAAATCACATCCATTTGTATAAAATGTACATTATATAAGCCTGAGAGATAAAGGGAAAGAATAATCTATTGATGCTAGTGAATGCAATTTGTGTATGTTATAAAATAAATACACCTGACAGCTCCCATGTTCTGTGTTTTATTTCCTTTCTGGTTGCTTTAGAGAGTTGGACATTGGGGATGTTTTACGGTTGCACTTGAAATATCAAGTTCAGTGTACATGTTGGAAAGCCATTGGCCACAGGCTTCTGAGAAAAGAAGACCAGCAATGCGAAACCTTGGTGTTCTTTGTTTATCAAGAAATAAAGAAACCTGAGCTTTCTAACTTCTAATTGCCAAATGTCTTTTCTTTGTTTAATTTTCACATGATTATCAATATAAAATGTATTTGGAAAACTACAGCAATATATGAATAATGAAGGAATATGTGAGGTTCATTTTGTGTGTGTGAGTGTGTGTGTGTGTGTGTGTGTGTGTGTGTGTGTGTGTGTATGTGTAGGGGAGGAGAGAGAGAAAGAGAGAAAGAAAGAGAAAAAGGGAAAGAGAAAGAGAAAGAAAGAGAAATATTAGGCAAGATGGTGCACTCCATCACTGAAATGGCTATATTGTGTAATATATTGCCCTGTCTATTTGAGGTTAGTTCTCTGTTTTGATAGGAATATTAATATGTGTATGAATGGATGGAATTTCAGCCTTGTTATTTTTTACATTCTTTGCTGTTATTACTTGTTGTTCCTAAGTATACAAATAGATTTTGAACAGTTTAAAATATGATTAGATGGAAATTAAGATACTATTATTGATGTCAGAAGTTAAGTTTCAGAAGCGAGATGTTTCACCTCTTTTCATTGTCTCTTTGTGTGTGTTCATGTACTCAAATGTGTGTGAACATGTATGTGCATGTTTTGTAAGTATGTGACATTCAAAGAACAAATTTTAATGTTGCTTCTCAGGTAACATCTGTGTGTGTGTGTGTGTGTGTGTGTGTGTGTGTGTGTGTGTGTGTGTCCACTGCTGCTCTGTAACCATCAAGTAGATTGTGTTGGTTAGCCATTGGCTCTAGCATCTCTCTGCCTTCTGCTCCTTAGCGCCAGGATTACCAATGTAATTGAAAGTGACAAATACCTATGATTTTTCTGTGGTGAATCAGGAGTTGTATGGGGTCACCCTATCAATTGTAACTTATTGTCAGCATCAACAACAGAAAAGATACATAAGCAGCAATATCCATTCTTATTTTTTTTTCCTTTTTTATGTGAGCTTTTATGACTGAAATGAGGACTACTGAGTTTCTGGTATTGTAAGAAAAGCACACACACTGTTTACTACTCTAAAGGTGTTGGAACCTAGGAGAATGCAGGTGATACATGAGTTGAACTAAAGTCTCATGCAATAGCTAACTTTATTTAGAGTGTCAGACAATTTATACTGAGAGGGTTGAGAGGAGTCACACAAGTGAAGTGTACAATCACAATGGCAAGCCACACATGGTGAGCAAGCCTCACACAGTAAAGCACCTTTTACAAGTGAGTAACGATAGGCAGTTGTAGTGAATAATCTGAAGTAAAGCCACTCGTATCTGCCATACCTGGGAGGGACATGAATGCATATTCCAAGAACGATTTTGTGTTTTGAAAAAACTGAGGTCGTAAGACCCATCTTGTTTTCTTGAAGTTTTCTCACAAGGATTCAGAATTCTCCTCTACAGGATTTTGTTCAGATTACTAACTAGTTCATATTACCAGATTTTACTAAGTCTTATCAGATAACACTGAAGAGCATTGATTTGAGAAATGACTTGTTGAAGTTCTTAGTACCAGGGTCCCCGAAAGTCTGAATAAATATTGACTCTTCTTATATCTCTGTCTTCTTTTGCCAATTAATGAACATAAGCATCACATAAACATTTCATATGAATTAATAATTGAAAAATGTTACCAAATGAAATAAGGCCTACACAACACTAGGAAAGATACCTTTACACAGCTTGTCAGTCTTGAAGTGATTTGTCTACCTTCCTTATGTGACTATTTCCAATTAGCCAAATCAATTATTTATTTTTATAATTCATTCCATAATTTACCACTTGAGGATAGATTGTTTTGAGTGAACTGGCTAATCAGTGCATTTCTATTTTATAGAAAACTCTTTAAAATGAAAAATCCATCTATATTATGGCTTGGTTATTATGGTCAAAACAATTATATTGGTTAACAAACTAAAGTATGATTATGGGAAATGCATAAAATGAATGTTATTCATAAAGGATTCTTTGAGCCTTGTAATATCACAGATTCGAACAAATTGTTTGCCTACCTAGGGTAAGGAAATCAGTCATGTCTTAATGTTTTGATTGTTGACTTTTATTATGACAACAAAATAAGAAATCTTGCCTTTCTTTTAAGCTCCTCTGCCAGATGCAAATAAATGGGCTACAAAATGTCTTTTTTTCCCCTGCAATATTCTTATTAGAGAAGAAATAACCAGATTCTCTTGGACTTACATACATATATCCATGGATTAAATGATATACCACTATTTCATATTTCATACTTCTTATGTGTGAAATGAATTTGTGTTGTGAATGAATGCCCACAACATTGTAAATATGCATGAAAAATTCATGTACAATTATTTTCTTTGGTAAACCTAAATAGCCTGTTGCTTTTCAATTTACATGTTTTACCTTGGAGATGATTACAGGCCTCCTTAAAGAAAATCTTTGCCCTATTTCTTTTTTTAAGGTTTTTTTTTTTCTTGCAAGTGTATTACTATTTAAAACATCTAAAGCTAATTTGTGAATACACATTTTCATTTTTTCCTTGGTATTTTGTACAAACTGCTGAGAAATCATTAAGACAGAAATGGGCATCAATCCAGAATTTCCATCTCCCTATTTTCTCTAACTACTTAAGTATTTATTTTTCTTCATTGTAGACAGCCATCTCTTTTGATTTTTACAGGAAAAGATGGAGAGACTTTTTTTATTCTAAATATTTAATCTAGAGCTATATGAGTATAATATAGTTTACAGTTATTCTCATTTCCAGCTACTTGAGTGAATTGTTTTTCAAAACATGTTAAATGGAATATTTCAAAACAACCATAAAATTTAAGCTGTATGCCATTCTGAAGTACATGAAGCCATTTGAGACTATTTAGCTGTCATCTGCCTAGAATACAGATCATGTATTTGTCCAGTTTATTTATTCTGTATGTACTACCCACCTAGTAGTCACTTAGATCCAACCCATGTAACATGTTACCTCTTTTATCACTACAGTCCTTGAAATCAAGAAGTACTTATTTACTTAATAATACCCCTTAAATATGAAAGTAATGAGTTTGTCAAGTCAAGCATACCAGAAAAGCTGAAAGGTGGTTCTTTTAATTATAATCTCATAAAAATTACAGGAAGATGAATATAGCACAGTTACTTTTAGTATAGCATTATGACAATCACTCATTTCAGTCTTTTAGTCTGTCTAATTTATAATTATGTGTGTACAAAGAGACATAGTATACATTAATTAGAGCCATCCACATTCTCAGATTCTTGACTGGTCTTAGATATATTCACTGTGGATGAGAAGGTCTTATGAACACAAAAATGTATACATTTCCTGTTCATAGTGACATATGCATATATAAATATATATATGTAGATATATTTGAAAAATGATTGATTTAATACAGTTTTTATTCTCAGTGAAACATAATGGTTACTGATTTGTAGGGCATAATGATAAATTAACAACCTTGATTGATAGTAGGCTGGATAAATGTTTGATGATTGCCTTAGAAATAAAATATTATTGTCAATCTCATGTGCTACATAATTTTTCAAAATTCCTCTTCCACCAAATAGAACATGTGCTGTGGCATAAATGATTGCTGTTGTTTATGAGAAATAACTCAGAATTCTCCCCATAGTATTTACAATAAATGTGGTAAATGCTTAGACAACACTTAACTGCCTTTGAAACCTAAATCATTTGCTTAAAGGAATTCACTTATTCTTGAAGGAAACCTTATGATGTAGATAATGTTATTTGTTGTTTCTTTTACTGA